TCCAAACCAAACCATTCTATGATTTTATGATATATTTGTCTCATAACTTACACATTTTTACGCTCGCAGTGCTGACAGCCTTTCCTACCACATTAATGCAAGAGCTCTTCTTTGTGGATTAGGAAAAAACAGATGCATAGAGGTGATTGATGGACGCTTACCAACACACAAAGGAACCAGCAGGCAATAATTATAAAACCTCTTTCTCAAGGCTGCAGCAGGTTGACAAATTTAAATGTTTGGGCCACCCCAGAAAAGTACATTAGGAAAAAGTTCCTGTACCAAAATAACTTTGCAGCAGTGGAGACTGAAGAGCTAGGGAGCTCTCCAGGAAAACTGCCCTCAGGAAAGGGCTTTCCTGGTAGTTTTGTTGGTGGTTTATTCTCATGGTTTTTGTGAACTACGGTGGTTTTCACTACTCCTGCCACGCTATTAATGTCTGTCTGAGTTCTGCCAGGTAGAAATAAACCCGTAGTGCCTCTACACTGCTCTAGCTACAGCAGCAGCATAAGTTAGGCTGCCCAGAGTTTCACGCTGCTATCGGTAAGACTCCCCTGTGCCCAGCGTACCTTCAGAAAAAGCTATCTACTATAGCTTTACTCTGTGCTGCAGTCTGCTCTATACTGATTACTGCTGTCTTTAAGCATTCAGAATTAGGAGTCAATAGGACTGCTGGACTTTGTGTCTTAAGCGTGGACCCCTGCTTTGCTGACTGGCAATGGAATTTGCCTGATGATAGGATGCACAGCACCCCCCTTCAAATGGCTGTGGTGCTCCCGAGGGTACGACAAAGGTGTCGTCATACCCAAGGGTTTGACCTTGAACAGGGCCGATCACATTTCATTACAGGCAGTTGTTGGCAGATTGACAAAGCCACAGCAAATTAAAGTTTCTCAGAACACCATTATCATTTGTGAACTACTTCATGTTATTACAAGAATGGAACGAGAAATTAACAATGCACAATAAACACTTCCTGTGAAGAAAATGTTGATGATAACAATGCAATTCAGTCTCAAGAACACTGGAAACATGCGGCCTTGGCAGATTTGCAAACCTTCTGCTCAAATCCAGTTCTGCAAACAACCTCAGATGGCCCTTAAGGAAAAGTAAATGAATACACAGTGTGCTTCCTTGCAAAAGTCAGTGACCAGCTTCATTACTGACGCACAGGCTGCAACACATGACAATGCTGTAGGCCCTTACATAAGCAATACAATGCCAAACAGCAAGTGATTTCAGTTGCCGAGCTGTCATTGTGTAATTCACTTCTCCTCCACACATTGTCTTAAATACACTTAATTACGCTAAAATTGGTATTTTTGTTAAACCAATTAAAAGTTCTTCCTCACACAAGCCCTCAACCCTCCCCACAGTTGGCTTGCCTCTGCTAGTCCCTGCACAGCTGTTCCTTCTTGAAACATCCGGCACCTGGAAACAGCCCATCTCCCCACACGTCAGTCTTACAGATCTGAAATTCCGTCCTGTTCGGACACGCATACGTTATGGGAGAAGCGCTAGGAAGGATGCAGTAGGTGCATCCCACATCTGAGCAGCCTCAGGATGCTTCAGTGAAAGGTGAGATCACAGCCATAGCCTCTGCAATGAAACAGAGTCAGCACACTGGTCAAGTTGGCACACCAAAGTATTTATAACTTCTTGGAAAGAATCACATTGCACAGTTAGATTCCAGAACTGATAATTTTATTCTGTTCAGCAGAATGTTCTCTGTGATTTAGCTGAATATGAAACTCTGTCTTTACTGATGTTGATTTTCAGCTGTTGCATAGTTATGCTTTAGTGGTATAAACAAAAATAAAAGGTCAGATAGTTGTAAGAACTAATTACACAAATCTGTGTATAATTCCTATACATTTGACATGCATAAAGTTCCCAGGCTTACTATATACCATAGTTCTACTGCATCATGTTTTAAAAGCACTCAGGAATTTTCAGGACAATAAGTGAAAACTTAACCCTTGCAGAACATTTTTAAACAGCAATTAATGCAGCATCATACAACTTCTGACAACACTTCCATACATTAGCGTTTCTGATGTAATACTTATAGGGAGATCATTTGATCAAGGTCCAACACATCCATGACAGAAGCAGAGCATGTCTATGGGTTTTATTTCTATGCCACAATTCAGCTCTCATACTCAGTCTTCTCCTGCAGCACGCTGTTTCCAGAGTTTATACAGCAAATGATTCTCTCTGCTAATGAATTTAAGCTAATAAAATCCTAGCAGTCTTGGTTTAAAGACTTCTGGTGGAAATGTATATATTACAAAGTGGCAGGTGTCTTTTTGATGTTAAAAGTTTATTACAATAAAATGGGCCAAATGCTGCAATACATCCATCAACATGGAAGAACTTGCATGATTTATTTTATACACAATCCATTTCAACAGGAATACAGATCCAGCTACTCAATGGACTGTCTTGTTTATTATTTAATAACATCAATCAATAAAACCACAAGATTTAAATCTAATGAGCATTCTTCTTGACCATCTTGATGAAACTAAGAGAGACACAGATAATGCATGCAAATTCTGGATTTGTTACTTTTTAGCAGTTCTTTGTTCTAAGAACAGCACCTGTATTACAGCAGTTCACAGAGCAGGAGGTGAAAGGGTAGAGGAGTTGCACTTGGTGCCTCAGTCGGATCAGCCTGCGTGGCTAGCTAATTGTGCAACAGTGCTTTCTTCCTTCTACAGTGCCTGCAAACACAAAATATTCCTGATACTTAAAAATAAAGCCACTTCTGAACAATAACTGTTAACTATGAAATAACTTAAATTGCACTGCATAAAGACTATTATAAGAAGTTAAATTGCCTTTCCTTCTTTACTATTGTTGAAGAACTACTTTGAGATGAAAACTAATTAGAATCTGAGCTAGAAGAGGTTTAAGCCATTCAACAGTATTGTCTATTTCTTTTGAACAGAAAACCAAGGTTACTCTGCAAAGCAATTATTCAACATCCAGTTGTTTTTCACCTCAACCACAGCATCAGTGCAAGTCAAAGGACACACCTTTGTCACCATTTCTGCACTGTGATGAAAAGGATTATGCCTAAGCACCCCCTAGAGCACAAATTGGAAGGTGTAATCTTTTGTTTACAAAGTTCCCAGGAAAATCTAATGTCTCACCTTGTTGTTACTGGATTAACAATGAAATGGAAGCTAGAAGGAATACTGCTTCCCACAATGGTTCAGGGAATGTCACAACTGATATCAGTTGTGAAACATGAACTTATGACACCCACAGGGAGAGAATAAGCTGTGTGCCCTTTCACAGCTTATGCCACTGATAGCTCCAGGGGTGCATTCACACATACCCTGAGGCACCCGTTTTGGCAAGGCCTGATAGATCCATAAGCCAGAATCCCTGATGATCTCTGCTGCCTGAAAGACAGCTTTAAGCTCTCCACAAGATACTGCTATGGCCACCATCTTTTAAAGCCTTGCCTTGGGATACCTTGGTACTTACAGAACAACTGCCAAGTTCACTTAGGACTGGAAAAAAAATCTATATTAGACTTAGTCTCCCTTTCTACTTCAGTGCTTTCAACTGCAAGCCTTCCCCTCCCTCCCAATATGGAGGCCAGATAAGGTGCTGAAAGTTTTGAAGAGTGCTTTTTATTCCTGTAAACCTTTCAGAACATTACTGTCTTGGCAAAAAGGTGCCTCATCTCTCAGTAAATACCAGAGCAGTACTTTAAAAACAGACATGGAGTTTCCTTTCAGAATAGCTCTGAAGTGTAAGCTACTTTATCTCCCTCTAGTTTTCAGTACAGCTACTATGAGGAGCAAGAATACCCCACTTTTTTTTGCAAGTCAATAAATGTGTTTCTAAAAGAGACTAATACTTTGTACTTACTTAAGCTCTCATCTAGACATCTTTGAAAAGGCTCCCTTAAACAGAGGCAATTATTTCAAAACCCCTGAAAAGCATACATCTAACTAAACTTTAGATCTTGACTCTTGATTTTCTGAAGCCTCACCAACAGCACACAAGTTTTATTTTGCTTTCCCTAGCCACCAAAACCACTCTGTTCTCCACAATTCTGCAAATCTAAGGAATAAAAAACAGCCCAGGCACTCCCTAAAACACTTGAAAGTTTCCATCTACAGTAGTCACAATTGACTTACAAACCTGGAACTAGCCATTCCCCACTCAATAAGAGGCTGTTTTAATATGGCAAAGATTTATTTATCAATTTGCATGTATCAGGTCAGACCAACAGGTAAGATATTTACACAACAGTTTGAAATACACAGTATTTGCATTTCAGACAAGCAACTAAATGCAGCCTGTAGTAAGTCTTCTACACAGTATCCAGATAATCCCACTGCTACATAATTTCAGTTAAAAACCAACATCTGTAATGCTTCCACAGAAGTTTCTATACCTGAGGAGTTTTAGTACATCCTTTCAAGAGGAAGTCACAATTAAAAGCCACATACACAAGCCTATTTAAGGTTGTCATTCCAGTTGCAAATTTGCTTCCTTTGAAGCAAGGTCTGATATACACTCCCTTAAGCCACATGATACTTGTGCTGGCCCTTCTGAAGAAGTGCTATCTGCATCATCTCCACAGTTAAGTTCTTCATTTTCCTGTTCGGATTCCTCTGGAGCCAGACTCTTCAGTGTCTCAGGATTGTCAGGTGCTTCCCCAGTTAGTCTCTAGGAAAAATCCCAACAAAACAGAAGTTCACACTGTCTTTTTCTACTTAATAGCCAGGGAGGTAAGACTGTATGTTGAATTAAGCAAACAAATTATCTTCATTTGGAGATTGTTGATTATAATTAAAACATTCTTCAGTCAAAAAGCTTAGACACTTTGAGTTCAACTCAAATTGCTAACTCTAAATCACAGACCACATCTGGTTTGTTGAGTGTTAAGTCTTCCTTAGGTTCTTCAATTGGACAGGTTTTATCATCAGAAAACAAAATATGGGAAACAGCTTCCCAGGTTAAATATTACTATAGTAGTATATAGGTTTAGTTTTAGAAAGATTACTATACAACAGATTAAGTTCATAATTTTTAATCAGAGATAATGAAGCTACATTAAGTCTAGATGAACTGGAAGACCCAGCAGTTTCTAGCACTTGATGATCAAACTAGAAGTTCCTTACCTAACCTGATCTAAGGAAGAACAGGACTCTAAGAGGCTGCTTTTGAGGCTTCTGGTTGGTTGATGTATCACTTAAGGCTCATTATAGCTTCAGAAGCTAGCAGCTCACTAATAAGTGAACTTAACCATTGAGGAACTGCAGAGAAGTTTCCAGCATCAGTCCTTAAGTCTGTGGTTTTATCACTAACAAGCAGCATCCCCTGAATACCAAAAAAGATTCAAATGCAGCAAAATAGAGGAGTCTTTGAAGACTGATCTAAATAATTGCACTAAAAAACAACCTAGATAAGATTAGTATCAATGTTCCATGGCTATATATTTATCACAGCTTCAGAGACTGTTACTGAGAATGTACTGCTTTCATGGAACCAATGGCACAACTACCTGTCCCCAAGGACTTCTAGGAGGAAGCTATTTTGAGATTTACAAGTTCATGAACCCTATAGACTTTGTACATTAGCCCCTTTTTGGGCCACACACCCAGCAATTCCTCAGTGAAACTTTGACTTTAAAGAGCATAGGTGCTTCCTTCTCCCTCTCACTGCTCTGCTTTGCATATCCCTGTTTCAAGCTTAATTCCTCAAAAGACACAGCCAGTACAAACACTTCATTTAGCCAGTAACCTCACACAACCTATTAAACACTTGAACTTAAGTTGTCTCAGAGAAGTAAAAATGAACCCTTCCTTCCCATATCACCATCTCTAACGTGCAAAACCTGTTAAGACAATAGGTTGAATCTTCCCTTCAGAAAACACCCCTCCTAAGTACTTTTCTCATTACTCCTGTGGATTTTAAGCTGGAAAAACTCATCCCCTAGAAGGGGCTTTATGCCTCTAGATTAGAACATTACCACAACAAACAGCTAGACTGTAATGTAAAATGAAGAGTTGTGTGAACACAGAACAGAAGTCATGATTCATTAAACTATCTTTGCTGGTTTCTCACTTTTTCATTCTATAACATTAACTGAAAAGTCAAGTACCTCAATCATGCTGGTCATATAATGCACATGTTCAGCAAGGGACATTAGCTCTTCATTTTCTTCTTTTAGGCGGGCAATTTCGCCATCTTTCTGTTCAATTTCTTTGTGCAGCTGAGTTCAAAGAACAAAATGTTAAGACAGGAGTACAAGAGCCAGTGGTAAAGAAATAAGTTACTCTTTCACTAGCTACCTTTTCATTTTCTTGAAGTACTTCATACAGAGCCTTCCTCCTCTCTTCAGCCAATTCTTTCCAATATTGAGATGAAGGGCTTCCTGAAATAAGCAGCTACAGTAAGTCTGTGCAAAGGCTAAATTCTTAAGATCATCTTAAAATATTTAACTTTTGTATACAACTCTTCTATAAAGTATGATAAGAACTCACAACTAATCTCTGGGAAAACACTATACAGAGTAAGTTTACAGCTAGAGACAGTTTTACAAAACCAGAGATCCTATGCTGTATTAATGGCCATACAGGTAGTCTTCAAGAAGCTGCCTCAAGTATGGCAGCAGGCTTTGCAAGCCAGCAGTCACATTCACAATTGTCAGTCTTGATGCATACTTTGTGGAAGATGGAAGTCTTATTCCCATGTCACTGTCCACACACTGGGCTTAACCAGTCTCCCACTGAACTTGAGATACTTTCAAACTGGTTGTGAAAAACTGCACATGCAGCACACTGCCAAACCAGACTTTCATTTCAACTTAATTATTAGTCACTCGAAAGCTTGCAGCTAGGCCAAAGTAACCAACTAAGGGACTTCTTAACACTGCTGCGCACCAAGTTTATGGTAGCCAGTAGCTGAGAACCATTCTGCAACACTAGTTATCTATACTGCATTCACTATACCACAGAGGGCAAGTATTATTTATTCCTGCTAGGCATTATGTAAAAACCTAAGCCCTTATCTAACTAAGAAAGGAACCATATTTCAAGTTATATTCCAATGGGAGCATAGCATTTAAAGTGCAAGAAAACATTTTAGGAATTACCACATACCTTTTATCATGAGATCTACAGCTTGAATGGCATCATTCATATTCTCATTTTCTTGCTCCTTGTCCACAGACATCTCAGCTTTACAAGCCTTTGAGGTCAACTTGTTATTTTGGAGTTTCCTTTTGACTGAAGATTTCTTCTGCATAAAACACAACCAAGTTTAACTTCAGAGCAATGTTACAGCTTTTTTTTTTTAAATATAACTTGTAAGTCTGCTCACCAATGAACGCAATATGTCTTTATAAACTCCAGTGTCTTCACATTATAGTTCTAATTTACAGACATCACCCTTGATACCCATAGGTTTAACATGAGAAAAAGTCTCAAACATTTTCCTGAAGCACTTCAAAATTGCTATTTTTAATATCCTTTATTACTAAAATAGTAAGTTGAAATTATGTCTCATTAGCTTGCAGATTGTACGTTTTTTCAAATATATTAGTTTTGAGTTAAAAGCTCAAAAGCATTTCACTATGAGTAGAAATAATTACACATCCACAGGTTCTCGTTTAATTCATACCTCATTATGTCTGCCAACCAGGCAACCTGTTGCTGAAGGCTGAATCATTTTAAGAGTCCGTCTTGAGGCAGCACTGCATATGGTGTCTGTGAGGTACTTCTAAAAAGACAAATACGGCTTCAGACCATTGTTGCTCTTACATAAACTGAGACTTCAGAGATTTGTCATGCTTCCAGTTAACCCATGGTTCATCTCAAGACAATAAGATGATACTTTAGTCTACATTAAGGCTTGGGCAAAGCAGGAGATCTAGTTATTTATAGCAGAGATGATGCTATGCTCATACCCTGCCTCTTAGAAAACCCTTACCCTTCATAAAGGGACCTGAACAGGTCTCATAGCAGAAATATTCTGACTAGATGTCAAGACCAGCTACAGTGCAGTCACACGTGTAAACTTCAGCTGCTCCCAAAGCTGTATTGACAACAGCAGTATTAGACTCCAGGGGAGAGACACAGTGACTGCAATTTTAAGTTTACTTGGTAAAGTCACACAGATCACCTTAGGCAGTACCCATTTGTTACCTGTGAACATACCCTCAAAAGTGTTCATTTAAATAACATGTTGCTTCAATTATCCATTAAAATGGATCTAAAGCTTCCTTGCTCTGATCCAGACAGGCTATTGTTTTGTATAAACAGTATGTTTATCACCTTTTCTGTCATGCATAAATATCTATTTCCTTCATTAAAGCTTCTGATTGGGTTGGTTACACTGCTACCACGGGATAGCAAACAATGGCAGACAACCAAGCAAGAATAGCCAGAATACAATGCCACACCAGCGTGAGAAAGTTACCAATTCACACTGTACTTCATATGACAAGACTTCGCCTTTCCCACGGTAGTTTCTGCCACCAATTACCCCACTGTTGAACTAAAGGACAAACACTAACTGCTGTGGGAACGAGAATCACACCGTGTGTCAGACACTGCTTGCTGCTATTGAAGGTTAGAGTTAAGCACGCTCTGCCAAGAAATTATTGACTAATACTTGAGTTAACCCATTGGAAGGGCAAAAAGCCACACTGAGGAATTTATACCCTATAGGTATATTTGCCCGCTATAGGACAAGACTACCATGTGTATAAGTCAAACTTCACTAGAATCACTCTGTCCCTCATGATAGAGGGCTACTAGCCTCTATTTTACATGGTATTTGTACAATTCCAAGTAGGGCCTATATTAAAAGGTTTAACAAAATAATTTTGTAACAACTGGAACAGGTATAAACTTCAGTAACTTATCAGTCATCTCAAAAACCTAAATCCTTTAAGCATTTCCACCAATTCCAAGGCAACTATGGTTCATGAGGGTGTCTTTAGAAACAGAACTGCTGGCATGAAGACTTCAATTAAAGCATGGTCAAGACAGATTTAACTCTTAGTAAGCTCATCCCTATAAAGAACAGGCTCCAGAACCTACTCTGCAACCTTTTAGCAGCCAGAATGATTCAGTAACCAAACTAAGGCAGGTAGCCAGCATCTAAAAAAATCACATGGAAAGACAGCAAGCTTAGTGTCAAACTAAAAAGGACTTGCAGTGAGAAAAAAGTAGTCATAAACACATATGCCCAAGCAGGACAGAGTGTTCCCAAGCCACATTGCCTGCCAGGAGGTTATTCAAGCCAACAGGACATAAGCCAGGTGGAAGCACATTGCAACAGATCCCTCTGTACTCCTTCAGTAGATATAAAACTTGTGTCAGACAGAGGGACTGCTTCCCAGAGAACTGAGTGCAAAACTCTAAACAAAGCAAGTTCTGAGATACTCTTGATAAATTTAATCTTCTATTTTCTATCTCTTATCTACTCCCATACTCTAGCCTTAAGACTTTAAAGCCTATACCTCCAAAGATCCTGATGATTTTTCTGAGTTCGGTTTCTGTTTCATTTTGGAATTAATAGGATCACTGCAAAAAGAAGCAATAGATTAGTAACATCAGGCTGCAACTGAAGATCAGGCACACTAGTTACAGAGTATCACAATTTCGGTTTAGCAACTTTTATGACAGCATTAAAAAAATCAATCACGAATCGCGCGGTCAGCAGGCTCTTCCAGAGCCCTTGGAGCCCACTTGGGGCTCCTCCCTGAGGTGCGAGCTACAAGCGCGCTAGAAACGCAAAGCCCTGAGGGCACACCCGTGTCGCTGACACCAGTGGTGCCACACTAGCCCACCACAGACGCCACCACAGATTACAGCCCCAGGGATAGTGGCAGTGTGTGTGGGGGGGCGCGATTACGGGCTCATACCCAAGATGGCGGGGGGGAGG